CGTCGCAGGCAGCTCCGACAGAACACAGACCAACTTATACCTGCTGTCTTAACAGCGCGTTTTAGAAAATACTATAAATGGCACGGTAAACGCCATCTGTAGTACGATGCTACATTTTAGGATTACGTATGCTCCAACAAGGTCCATTTAATTATATGGATATCTACTTGCTGATTTTTTATAATATTACTTGGTTACTATTATTATTCACAATTCAAGGACTAGGTAGTCGTTACTAAGTCTTTTAATTTTGAATGTAACTCTCATTCAACTTGATCCAATTTTTCATTATCCAAATTTATTGTTTTCACCTAACCACGTCCCTTAATGTATTAGGTAGATAGACCTTATAACAGTTAACGATGGCCCATTATACGTGAACAAGTTGTTCAGAAACCATCAGACCATTCGGTTTGTTCGTGGTCCCGGATGACCGTATCACAAAAGGAGACAAATTAGGAACCTCATCTCGTGTCAGCGTAGAATTGGCCGTCACCGTTAAAAATTAACGTGGATGCTTGTTGACACTTGGAGAAGTCCATCTGCGTCCTGTTATTAGCTGGAGTAGAATACGTACTACTTACTATATGTATAAGAAACCGCAGAACGTTCTTTCGTTTACGTTTTCAGATAGTCGGGTACCTTTCCGAAAGGCGATCTTAACAAGTGATTCGATATGGTTTTTAGAAATTTCCGTTGACATACTGACAGGCTGTAACGATACGTGTTGTTTAGTTGGCAGAGGTGACAACTGTCAGCGATAAAGAGCAGCAGGCAAAGAAGGCCGAACTTTATTATTATAACTATACTATTCGAAGGCAGGTACAATATGAATTAGCTACACACATATTTCTTTAATTCAAGAATGATTTTGATAATATTATTTAATCACGGATGCTGAATTCCTATGTACTAATAAGATTTCATGTTTCCCTAATGTGCCCAGCTGAATCCTATTGAAATTTCTGACTTGTAAATGAAATAGGTATGGCTTTGAAATGCAAAGACATAGAAGCTTTTAGCTTAAAAACTAAAATCGTATTTAAAGGAGTAACATGCATGCAAATAGTGGGGGGGGGATCTCAAAATTATGATTTTTAGGCATATTTATGTTTTGTTAGGTCTAACATATAACAATGACTTTTAGTAAAAAGCTGCGAATTATGTAGGTACTTGAACAACAAATATTCAAACTAGCTTATATCATCATTATTATTAGGTCGTCAGTCCTAAAACTGGTTGAACATGCAACTTCACTCTTTCTTGTCCTGAGCTAATCTTCGGATTTTCCTAAAACTAGTATATCCCAGATCCGTAACTATTTGTGAACACTAATCTACTACTGTAAGTCTATCTCCAATCCTCTTAACTCCTATTTCTGCTTATTTAATATGTCTCTAACTACCCTCATGCCGGAGAAGATGTCGTACCAACCTATATCGCCTATTTCTTATTAACTTCTTTGATATACTTAACCAAAATTTTGGGAAGGGGGCAGCTTGGGCCCCGAATAAAGCTAGCCTCACTGCATCGTGTGGACACCATGAGGCTGCTACACAAAAGTCATTTGATGCTTTGTGGCTCTCCTTTGGGAGAATCAATCAGATCACACCAGTTGATAATTTTCAAATATGGATAATAGTCCTAATATGGAGATAATTACAAGCTTGTCTTAGAAGACTTACCTACTATATTTTATGCTTGCCCAATTGAATCCCTTAAGAGCGACGGTGGGATTGATGCTCGCTTCTTTGTATTATTATTAGGTTTGTATCATAAGAAAAACTCTTTATCTTTTTCACTTTAGTATCATTGATATTTTTGATATCCTAATGAGGAATCTAATACAGTGAAATTTCTCTATCGGCATACCTCTTCTTTCTCTCATGAAGACCACAAGCTACATGGAGAATTCCTAAGTCTGGTCGGGTAGTGTCGATCTGTCGAATGGTAAGTTTCCATGGTCCATGAGGTAGTATCGAAATTGCTCAAATTAAATCATAAAACAGAACAGGTTTTTCGAGTTCCTTTTTAATGTAATAATTTACTAATAACTTTTATTTACAACCCTATTCTAGTTATCTTTATATTTATTTGTTTTATTAGGGTACCTTTGCCGTTGCAGAGGATGGCCTTGCTTACGAGCAAAAATGCCCTTACCATTGGGCAATTTTTCCTGATTATTTTTGAATATTGAAAAGAAACAATGGTATATTTTTATTTCATTTTTTGGTTGTATTAATACTACTACCACTGGGTGTTAATGTACATTGTTTTTTACCTATTTACTCCCGTCTTTGAACAGATGGTTAATATTTCCTCATTTACAACAACTGGACAAAAATTCACAGAATTTGGCTGACCTTTAAGGGTTGCACAGTACGCCTTAAAATCCTTGAAATTTCCTGGCAGCTCTTAAGTTTTTCTCTGACATTCCAGAAAATGATGATTGACAACCCGGAATTTTTATTTCATTTGCGATGCCAATTACAATCTTCAAAAGTACTCATATTGTATTTATATTATTAGAAGAGCATCATTGAAATTCAATTTCGAGGTACTTAATAATACCCACTTCCATGTGTGTTTCTCTTTTTGGTAATGTGGAATTGTAGAAGATATAAAATCTGTGCTTTCAGAACAACTGTACAAGTTAGCTTTTACCCGAAATCGATGAGGATGAGCTATTGTGTGCTCCCGGTCGTACATCGTTTACTGAACAATAAATCCGGTAATCTGGTAGTCTAACGGCGGCCCCTCAATTCGGCAGATAGCTCAGGGGAGATTCGCTCAGTTATTTAAGAATTAATTGTATCCACAAATCTCTTCCAGATTTGCAAAGATTCATGGCAAATGAAAAAGCTGAAGCCAACATTATGGAATCCCATCATTAATTGAATTGTTTTACAAATCATTGGTTCTTAATTATTAAAAGTAATTAATATCCTTTAGTGAGACCATAGAATTTATTGTTGATCGATTATGTTTAATTTCTCTGGATAAGTAAAGTGGGATGGATTAAAATGAAACATAAAGTGAAAATTGGATGCTTAAAACTTTTAGACATCAAAGTTATTGATTACACTCCAAATAATCGACAATTCTATTAGATATGCGATGGAATATTAGGCAGATTTCGTAACACCCGTATCATAAATAGGTACTCCACGCTCCACAAAACACATTAGGAAATTCAAAAAAAAGATGAGTGAAGTTCTTTGGCATCAATAATGTTGATCGATGAAAACTGAGAAAAACAGGGTAAACCTAACAATAATAAAATTTTGTAACCATAATACCTAATAACTCAAATATAATAATGTACCCCTATACTTGAAAATCTTAAGGATTATAGTTAAGTTTATGTAAAATTTCAAAATTGAGTAGGTTATGTAAGAGGAGTTTGTTTGTTCTGGTAAAATATTGCTTTCATTTCGCCATGCATGCACCTAATATCCAAAGATAACTGAAGGCATTTGTGCGAAGTTTCCTGTAGGTATACCACATCATATTTTTCAAGAGATAAATTCGCTTTTGATGATTGCATGAAATATGTACGCTTTTCAAATCTCGCCATTCTAAGGTAGGTAGGTATACGGCAAATATTTATAGTTCTAAAAATCGAATGAAAAGTTAAGTTTTAAATCTAACAGTCTTCCAGGTTCATAAAACCTGAGCACAGGAAGCGACGGTGATGATTTACAATACTTATAAACTGATGGCGCGACAGCATATACCTATCAACATTCTGTAATTAATGATTAGGTACCATGATATGTCTTTTCAGGGCAGGCAAATTTTTCAACTTATAAAAGATTCTTTATAATATATTACCTCAAAGGAAATTAAATATAACAAATAGTATTAGGCAATACCTATACCTTTATTGAGGTAGGTACACCCATATCCTGTGCAGAACATCATTGAAACTTATAAAAGATTTACATAAAATGTTTATTGCAATCGCAACTATGATACGTTTCTAATACCTACTAAATGAATAGAATTTCTTTTAAGTCAACCATAAATAATTAATCGTTACCTTTGGCAAAAATACTGGTATGCAAGAAAAGAAACAGGGAAAGGGCGAATATAAAGAGTAGACAACAAATTAGAAGAAGTCAGATAACTCAGGATGAAAGGAGCAGTAGAGATATAAAACAACGGATAATTAAAAAGGCACATCTATGCTTGCGAATGGTTAATTTTAAAAATTTGAAAACGATTGTTAAAGAATCTCCGTGGAGCGCCGGCGAGCTGTAAGGGTACGAAACATGGACGGTGAGCGCAGCGGTAAAGAAAAAGTTAGATGCGTTCGAAATATGGTGTTATTACAGGTGAATGGTGAAGGTACCGTGGATAGAGAACGTTAGAAATGAGGAGATATTAGAAAGAATAGAAGAGCAGAAGCCACTGTGGAAGACAATAAGAAATAGACGAGATAGGTTGGTAGGATACCTCCTCAGATATAAAGGACTCGTTAGAGGCATATTAGAAGCAGAAACATGAGTTACAAGCAGTAGGGGTAGACCTAGACTAGATTACTATTTACAAATAGTTGAGGATGTGGGATGTTCTAGTTTTAGGGAAATCGGATGAAAAAGCGGAGGTGCGTGTCCAACCAGTTTCAGGATTGACGACTTTATGATGATGGCCTTTGGCGAAGTGGTGCCTAAAAATGGTATCTCATAAATTTGATGGACATCCTTTGTAGATACCAAATGGGTACTGCCGGAAACATTTTGTCTGATACACTTACTTGAACCGAACTGGGAGTTGTCGATTTTTAAAAAATTAATCGACAAGTCCTGGTAACAAAAAGGAACGATTTATGTTACCAAGAAGTCATAACAATAAAAAAATCGAAATTTTTAATTTGTTAAGTCTCTTGTATTTTCGGTCAAAATTGGTAAATGCCCTCCTTCAAGTTCGTTGACAATTTTCGGTTTGGGGTTAATTTTGATGTAGTAAAAGGTCACCAAGCTACGCTTTCAACATACCTTAAATTTCCTGAAACATGTTTCACCTAAAGCACAAGAGTCTTAATTCCCGGAAAAGTTAAAAAAAATCCGTCGCAACGATCACTGTTCACAAAACTCACTCTAATTTTAGAAAACTGAGTAGCTACCGGGAAAGCACTCTGTTGAAAATATTTATGTCCAAAAAGTTCGATTTATTAATGGGTATTTGTCCACTCGAGCGTTGGACGAGGCGATAAAAAACGGTAACTGAAATAAGACAAAGATGAACAACAAAATACCTCTGTAAGAGCAAACAAAGTGCACACTGATTAACTTCAGGCTCGGTGGTTGTTGTTCACGCGGACGAACGCGAACACCGGCGATTCCGCCTGATTTAGCGGAAATTGCTCGTTCGCTCTTGGTCCACTGCGTGCGTTTTCGTTCGTTTGGCACGTGCTTAAGGACCGCCGATGGATGTGGGTGAGACTCTGGCTCTGTGTGCTACCATGCGAAGTGGACCAAGAACTGGCTTCTGCTCGGTGTCATTCAGCCGTACAAACTTTGCCGAAGCCAGGCCTTGATCCTCCGGGTACATGGGGGGCGGCACACCAAATAACCACGCCCCCCCGCGACACTACAACCGACTACGGGACCCGCGAAGTAGAGAGGGACGCCGAACAGTAGCGTCGGCAAAAGGTCCGGAAGGTGTGGATGTTTTGACACGATGCCTACGTCCGATGAAATTATCGCATTGTCCTCATACGCACCTATCAAGGAGAGCTTTTATAATCTTGTACATACTCGCGGGTTTTATACGATCGCTTATTTTGATTTCCCTGAAGCAAGTGAAAAGTGGTCTAAAATTAGATAACGGGCAGATACTCCGAAGGGTTATCGAAAATTCATCAGTTCTTCTAGGTCTCGACTAAAATTTGTAGGAGGCATGCCTCACATAGCGTGTAAACCTTATGTGGCAAACGATGGGCCGACAAAGAGAGATTCCTCATTAGGACCTCACGAAAGATTCGATTACTTAGGATTATCTGTTAGCGAACCATATTTCAAAATTGGTATAGGCATATGGTAATAAGATTGATTCTCCCAAAATTTTTTAAAAGCGGATAGCGATAATTTTTATTCAGAAGGGGTAGGGGTACTTATAATGATGTGCGAAAAAGATAAGGCGTTATACCTGTCTTATGCCTTTCGTGGGCCTTACAACGCAGCCTCATGTGGAAAGGGGTCCCCAGATAGCAGAAGGCAGTGTGATTAACTTGTTTGGGATCTCTACTACTTCCATTTCAAAATTCTAGTCGTGGTCCGAAGACTGTTGGACACGCACCTTCACTCCTTCCTATCGTAATTGAATCTTTTCATTTTTCCCGAAAACTAGAATATCACTCATTCTTAACTGTCTATTTGATGGGAGCATCAAGTATATAAGTAGGTACTCTGCATCATGGTTCTTGTCCTTCCTTTCAGTTGAGCATTTTGCCCTTATTAGCTCTTCGTGTCTTGTCATCTTTTCTCTATATACTTTGCCTTATTGACTTTCGTAGTGCTCTTTGGTCTGCTATACTTTTTGTTATAGGCATCTTGATTCAAACTTCGCATTGTCAGAAAGCTAGAAAATCCCACATTCTTAACTCATCTTCTAATCTATAGGTTTTTCTTTGATGCTTCCTTTTACTACTGTTGTTGCTTCTGGTGGGATAGTATCTCTCAGCAGCCCTTTATATCTAAAAAGGTGTCTATTGTTGATATTGTTCGATGGCTTTTTGTTCTACTTTTTCCTCATTTCTAGCTTTCTTTTTATCTCTTTTAATTTATTTCAAATTTAAATGCCTAAGTTTCGACATAAACAATTTATTGTAACTATTTGAGTTTCATATTCCCAATTAGCGATCTTCTTCATGATCAAACAATTTCCAATTTTCACTCTCACTCTACGCCAGTCAAGTTCATTTCGCGTCAGTTGCCGACGAATCGACCAAAAAATATTCATCAGCCCCATTATTCGTTCCCCAAATTGATTCACGCATCTTCGCTCGACGGTGATGTTGGGTGCTAGATGCCCGAATCCTGTCGACATCTCAACCAGCACACTTTATTTATGCGTGTTCTATTATTATCTCTCTTTCTCTCCATAAGTGTACATCTAGAATATTATATCTAGTAGGCGCAGTATTAGCAGCAGGCACCACAGACACACACTTCTTCTGTGTGTACTGTACGTGTAGATATAATATAAAAAAGGGGAACCAGGTTTTGCGAGGCGTGTCATCGCATTAGCCGTGCCTGACTGGTTGTCGTTCCGCGCAATTCTATTGGCTCGTTCGACGACGCCATTGTTTCCGAAGCGCCGCGACGGCGCGCCCGCGCTCACGACGTCGCGCTCGCAGAGCTGTTTGGGTCGTCGTCGTCGCGACGCTCTCCACGCTCACTGCGATGCTCCGGGATGATTTTGTTTGTTGTACAGTTTTTTCTATTCATCTATTGGAGTTTAGTTTGATAGATAATTATAATTAGCCAGTCATTCGTAATAGACAACGATGGGATTATAATAGTATTTTAAATGGTTTCAGTCGTCGTTGGTTTGTTGATAGCTAATGGAAATAATGAATTTTAAAAGGTATAGGAGTGGTGAAAATGGTTTTTAATTTACCTACGTTTCGAAAGTTGTGACCTTAGTGTGACGTACCTACATGGTTTGGATCGAAAACACGGGATGCGTAGTATGTGGGTGGTTGAAAACAATCTTATGGTAAAATTTTGTTTCTGTAGGAAATTTTTTAATGGTCTCTTTTTAAAAGAAAATTTGATGTAGCAGTAGTTTGTCTCAGGCAACGGTAATAATTCAATGGATCGATTAAAATTAAAAGTTAATTCGTTTATCGGTTTTATTAAAAATATTTACATACAGACCTATTATCTACTCATAAAGGGTAAAATTGATATTTATACATATATCTAATAAATGTTTTGTTTAAGTGTTTGTAGCATGCGTGTTAAAAAAATCAATAATCTGATTTTTTTGTTCTATTAGATAATTATATAATGAAAAGCAATAATTCACACGTCCTATGACAACAAGGCTCATAGGCTCATAATTACTGAATGAACAATAAAATCCTAAAATTCTACAAATCATTTAGAATTCCAAGATGTCAAAACACATTTTAGGTTTCTAAACATTGTTTTGTGGAATTTTGGGTTTTTTAGATAGGTATTTTATTCAGTCATGTTCTGCAGTTATGCACAATGCACATAGCAGTTAACCGATAAAAATAAAAGAGATATTACTTATTCGATAATATTTTTAAAAAAGGCGATATGGCGGTACATTTCAAAAATTGTTTAATGTTGAGGTTCAGGAGAGGGAGGAATTATTGTTAGTATTTATTTGATAATTTTAAGATGAGTAACATTTAATTTATTGTTGATATCTACCTATTTATTAATAAATGTACAATTTCCATAGAATTAAGTTTAACTATTTCATTTAAAATTTTAATTGTTCATTAAATTGATGTTTTCCAGTTAACAGATGCTCAGCATATATATTAATACAAAGAGAAAACACGTCTTTGTTCGCAAGCGGTTAATTTAGAAATTCTAAAATTATTGTTAAAGGTGTATGTTTAATTGAGCACGGCTGGACGTGGACTGTGGACACGTGTTACTGCAGGCGAATGATGAGGATACCGTGGAAAGAGAAGGTTAGAAATGAGGAGGTATTAGAAGGAGTAAAAGAACAGAGGGCGCTATGGAAGTCAATAAAAAACAGGCAGTATAGGTCGATAAGACATCTCAAGGATGAAGGGCTAGTTATAGAACTATTAGAAGCAGAAACAGGAGTTGAGAGGATTAGAGGTAGATTTATTCTGGATTATTATTCACAAATAATTAAGGATGTGGATTGTTCTACTCTAAAAAAAATGCGAAGATCAGATTAGGATAGCAATAAATGGAGGTGATGATGATGATGGTGACCATCTTGGAGTACCTATTACTTACAATATGGATTGAAAACGGAACTGCTTCTTCCCCTTTCGATTTATCATAATTGAGGCTCGTGACTTATGCACTTACTCTGTTCTGATTCCTTGATACAATATGAGTCAACAGGTTAATTTACTGTATATGGCATTTAATTATTTATTTCTTCAAAAAGAAATGATCTCACCATTATTTATTTTAGTTTTCGGTTTTACTATTCCCAATATTTAATTCATCATCATAAGGTCGACAGTCCTAAGACTGGTTGGACACGCATCTCCACTTTTTTCCACCCTGAGCTAATCTCGGCATTTCCCTAAAACTGGTATTGTGAGCAATATTCTAATCTGGGTCTACCTCTATTCCTCTTAACTCCTGTTTCTGCTTCAAATATATCTCTAACTAGACCCTCATGCTTGTGAAGCTGTCCTACCAACCTATATCGTCAATTTCTTTTTGATTTCCATAATATTAGTTGAATAAAATAATTCGAAGTGGTCTGTATTCTGTCGAAACTGCCAGACGCGGATCGCGATTTCGATCTTTTTGGATCTCATCAGCGCGTCGCAGGCAGCTCCGACAGAACACAGACCAACTTATACCTGCTGTCTTAACAGCGCGTTTTAGAAAATACCAAAAATGGCGCGGTAAACGCCATCTGTAGTACGATGCTACATTCTAGGATTACGTATGCTCCAACAGGGTCCATTAAAATATATGGATATCTACTTGCTAAAACGCTAAAACAGCAGATAAAAGTTGGTCTGTGTTCTGTCGGAGCTGCCTGCACGCGCTGATGAGATCCAAAAAGATCGAAATCGCGATCCGCGTCTGTTAGTTTCGACAGAATACAGACCACTTCGAATTATTTTATTCGATTATAGTAACGTGCCTATCACGTTAAGGTTAGCTACGCCGGGATTCGTTTCAGCAAGTAGATATCCATATATTTAAATGGACCTTGTTGGAGCATACGTAATCCTAAAATGTAGCATCGTACTACAGATGGCGTTTACCGCGC